TCATAAACCCAGTCTCGTCAAAGTTGTAGATATCTGCATCGTAGATTCCGTACTTCGCTATTGTGTTTCGTACAAGCTCAAACCAGCCACGAATGACTTCTGAATCTTCGCTCTTAGCTCTCTGATAGTCGTATTTTCGTTGGAAGCGTGTCTGGAGTTCTGGGCGGCGCTTAACAAAGTTATAAGCCCAACGCGTCCCGACGCGTGGCGCGTCGCGTGCTTCAAGAAGTCGATTTGCTATATCTTCAACTACAGATATCCGCGGAGGAAATCCTTTTGTAGCTAGGTCGAGGATATGTTGAACAAGTACTGGTTCTCTAGCTCGGTCATTTTCCGTGAATTGGCTAAAATATCGCGTCGTGAAGGTATACCAAGCAAACGTCGACCTAGCTTCCGGTGGTCTACAGAATAGGTCCTGGCAGCAGCTCGAGCACGTAAATTTGGGTCTTTTTGCATAGCTTGGATAGCTAAGACTAACCGGCTTTCGTCATTTTTCAGAGGCATCCTTCGTTGTAGAGAAATTTAATATTTCGTGGAGGTGTGGTGGGGTCGCCGGGTTTTGGCCGGTTCGCTTGTTTGGCCGGTTCGCTATACATGCACGTTAATACTTTTACTATTATTAGTATAAATATAGTTATCGGCGGTTATAGGTAAGAGTCTAATCTCTTTTAGTACTTTTCGAAGCTTATTCTGCTAGAGTCTTAACGATTATTTAAGTCTATAGAATAATTTATTAAGTTTAATAATATTATCTTTTAAAGATACTTTATGTAACGAATACTCAAACTGGCTAACTAAACTTGGCTGGGTGTTCGCTGGTTGGTATGCTATGATAAGAAGAAGACTATCGGGTTGTTCACTTGGAAGTGAACTCGTTACTTGTATCAAAGATGTCAAACTAATATGATAAGATTGATAACTAAGTTGAGCACGAAGCTCCTATCTAAATGGCAGACGTGCCAGTCTTATATAGAACCTTCGTTCTCTGTCTAATCGCTTTAGTCGCTCGCCTCAGTCGCTTCAGTCGACAGGCGACTCAGGCGACTGAAGCGATCATGGTCACGTGGTACTTTAATCCGACGAAATCCATGGATCGCTTAGCTAGCCTAAG